AAAAAAAATCTTACTGACCCCAAACATTTTGTCTATTTTACCATTTTCATATATGTTTTTGGTTCATGGCTCTGTAATCAAGCTGGTGTCCTGCTGATTATACTGTCTGAACTGATGTTTCCAGATATTGGCAAGTGTTACCATCTGATATGTTTGAGTTGAGCGTGGTGTACGTGTCCGTGCTCTTTATTCACCCGCTCTGGTAAGACTTTGAAGAGAGAGTTTAGATGTTACGTGACATACATTTCACTCCACGTATCTTTTTTATGTATTAGTTCATTAGCTTAGTAGTGTTGCCACCCAATGTAAGTTTTGGTTTGTTTAGTTAGTGTAGTTATGGTGGGGCATGTTGGTAGCACACCGAAGATGTTATTTTGATTTTAATTTTGATTATGCTAGGTTAGATTTAAATTCTTAGGTTAGAAAAGTTTTTTTTTTTATTTGGTTATTTGATTTGGCAACACTTGTGCTGTCTTTATTTAGCTCATTTGTATTATTACTTCAAAGTTGAATTTCTTTTTGTTTATTGTTAATTGTAATTATATATGTATATATATATTTTGAATATCTTTAAAGACTGTTCCTTGTTATACTGGTTGTGGCTAAAGCAAATAAATATCTTTTCTCTGTTTGAATTTGTGGTGTTCTCCTATATCCTATTTGCACTAGGCTATATCCTATTTTTTTCAAATAAATGTTACATCCCCTAAATATCCCTAGACAAATCAACAAGGTATTGGGACAAGGTAACAGCAAGACATATTACCTCGCTCAATATCATCCATGGGAGATGATGGAGACATTTTCTCCTTGGGAGGAGAGCTCTTGGTGCTGGATGGAGCCTTGTTTCCACTTCCGGTCTTCATCTGCTGACTGAGCCTGCTGGTTTGCTGCTCCAGCCGTGACTGAACCTTACTGCTTCCCTCAGCCCTGTAAGGAAACAGAAACATGACACTTTATTTACTTAACAAAAGCTTTAAATGAGTATATCATGAAATATATTGTGAATCCATATGACTTGGAACACAAACAAATTAATACCTGGTCTTCTTGACGGCAATGTTGCTGCTGAGTTTCTCCAGACGATACTCTCCCGTGTCATGGTTAACAATGAGAACGCATTCTTTCATATAAGGCCTTTTGGAACCTTTAAATACGGTAACAGGTGCTAAGGATCCCTGCAAAGATTGATGGGAAAGGAGATTCAGCTTAATCATCCATGCTACTGTACATACAATCATTTTTTTGTGGAACTAAGGTTACTGAGCCTACCTCTAAGTTCGGTAGTGTGACTGTAACTTGCTCTCCTTTGCCCACTTCCAGCTCCCCCTCACATGTTGTGTCTATGGAGGCTGGTTTGAAATCATCTATGATCAGGAAGAAAACATTCGTATTTCATAATCATGTGTACCATTGCTGACATTCAACATAAGCAGCGTTGTACCAACGTAGAACCTACAGAGGGCGCGTGTTGCTTATTGTAGTGGAAAATCAGTAATTCCTCATGAATTAAATGTTTTCCAAGATCTAATTTTTTAACCACAGCGTTTCAGCGGATAGAAAAGCGTGCTCGTTTAGGAAGGTTTCCATTATAAGCACAAAGACAGATGCTTTTTCATTATTTCCAAATAACATTATAAAGCTGAGATAGCCAGCAAGGTGGAAAAACACATAGCTGCCTTCTCATATGCCTGTGCACATTGTTTAAAAACAACTTATGGTTTCAGTATCAACGTAAGAAACAGCTCTTTTTTTCAAAATATGATTTGTTTGTATGAGTTTATATAAATATTCCAATATAGAGATAATAATGTAAAATATGCCACTTACATCGTACCGTGTGGAATGCACTTTTAGGTTGTTTCTCAAAAGTTTCGCCTAGTTTGAGGACGTGTTCTTGATTGTCAAAATTTGAATATGCTGTTCCATTCATTCTAATCACAATGTTTAATCATATGTTACCAGTTTTCAACTTTCTGCTCGATTCGATACCATCTACGGCAGAAAATGAAATAGACACCTCACTTCTGGAGTATGGACCCGTCGCTTGTGCTTGCTACGCTGTGATTGGTTGGGTTTGTGTACTTGGTCACGCCTCATTAGAGGTCTTCTTCACTGTAATTGGCTAAGAAAACTGCCAGTTAACGCTGACGCAGCGACAGACGGAAGTGTCTATTTTTTACCCGAACGCATGAGTCTAAGAAAACCCACTAGTCAGTTTGCAGTAGCAACACAAAGAATAATAAGAAAAAGTCCAAAAATATATATTAAGGTCTATTCAAAGCTGGTAATTTCATAAGAAAGTATAATGTATTCATATTGACTTATGAATTATTTTACATTATATTAAATTATAATTAGGCTATATATCAGCAGAATAATCTCGCCTTTGATTATAGTTTAGCACAAAGGTGCAATTTATGTCATTTATGTGCTTTGAAAAAAATGTGTACTTTTATTTCCATTGACTGACAGAATATGGGGTCGTGGCCTGTTTGGAGGTTGTCACAAGCCGGTGTTCGTTCACGAGCAGCGGGTGTCATCTCTGTGTAAGTTTGAGCATCTGTTGAACAGTCATCGGTCCCGTATCTAAATTCTAATGAGTCGGTTGTGAATGGGACTCACGCGCGTTTGGTTCATTAATAGCGCAGGCTGAAGGAATGGACTTCGTGGTCGAGTTTTCACTGATTTTGAGCGAGGTTTTCCACTCCTGCAAGCTTCAGTTTTAGTCAGCTTCTGTGAGTCTGAGTTTCGGCTTGAATTGAACAGGAAACCGTAGAGTGGGTAATTAAAGCGGCAGCGTTATTGTTGGATGTCATCATAAGCGTAAAAGTAAGTCACGTGCAGGATCTCTGAATACTAACTCATATCTATGATCATTAAAAGTCAATAGAGATCGAGACGAGGGGCAGCAGAGGCACATGTGATTGTTGGGAATTAGCAGGTTGCTGGGTGACTGTCTTTACTCTTAAGACCCATTATGGGGTGAAGATGACTGGAAATCTGCCATTATTTGCCATTACAGATGGAGACTGGCTGGCACCCTTAGATAGAGGTTCTGCATTTGTTTACATGACC